CCAGCAGACGCAGACGGACGCGAGGCGTCGGGATGTGGCCCGTCGGCCGAGCCAAGGGACTGCCCGCCCGGCGAAGGGCGCGGAGTGGGTCCTGCCTGAGTCAGGGCGCCACCGGGACGACGACCGCCGCAGCCCACCGCGGGCCCGGGCCAGGACCCGAACAGAAATCGGAAGGGAGACCGAGGCCGAAAAAGACATTTGCATCCTGAGAAAGTGTGAAACCCAGATGTGGAGGCCGAGAGGCCATGACGGGACCTGCTGATCAGAGGCTCGTTCAACAAGTGTTGCCCTGTTCTGGGCGTCTACCCTCCTAGAAGTTACGTCCAGATGATGGATGGATGGATGGATGGATGGATGGGGAGAGAGGGAGGAAAGGAGACTCCTCGAGTTGTGATAAGTGCTATGAAGAAATATACAGCGAGTAAGGGATTCGAGAATAGTGGATTGAGACACTGAGAGTCAGAAACTGAGACCCAGGCTGATACAGATGGACAGAATCTTAGACACAGGACATAATGAAATAGAAACACAAAGGTAGAAACACTAAGAACCAGACCATCAAGAGCTAGAGAAAATGACACAAACACACTGATACTAGAACTAGCCACAAACACCAGAGGCTGAAAAATACACGTCGGAATCCTGAAGCAGGTAAATGCCACGAACATTTAAGAGAGAAAATGATCCAGCTCTGCTTCTGAACCAGTACCCGTGCCGTCTTTGGAGGGGGAGGAAGGGTGGAAGACCCTGCATCTGATTGTCCAACACTAATCTCAAAACCCTGGACTTCCAGACATCAACATAACTAGTCAGTCTCAACGGTGAATAGGCAAATATTAGAAAAAACAAAACAAAACCTCTGGGGGGAAAAGTATGTAGCACATGAGAAAAGAAAGTGCTAGAGCCAAAAAAGACTCCTTTGAAATATATTTAGTCCATGAAGCAGAAGCCAGTTTTAGAAAACACATAATTCTAATTATTCTCAATTAAAAGACGACAGTGCATCTTTTAAAAAAAAATGGGGGAGGGTAGTAATTAGGTTCATTTATTTTAACAGAGGTACTGGGGATTGAACCCAGGGCTTCTAGCAGGCTAAGCATGCACTCTACCCCCCCCCCACTCAGGACACTGCATCTTGTAAGGAACAGGCCAAGGTAAATGAAGAGTTCTCTGAAATTAAAACCACAATAGCCAAGGTAAAAGCGATGGATGAATCAGTAAAAAGCAGACCTAACAACACAGAAGAGCAAGTCAGTGGCATAGAAGATAACTGTAAGTCAAAATGATGAAATTAAGAGAGAAGAAGATGTACGGGAGGAGAACACTGGAGGTGCAAACTCTAGGCACCCCCTAGAGAAGACAGAGCACACCAGTCAGAGGCAATAACACAGTGAAAGAAAATTTGCCTTAGGTCTAAAAAGAAGAGGAGGTAGGAAATTGAGTTCTCTGAATCCAGAAAAATAAATAAGCAGAAACCAACTCCAAGACATAATCTGGAAAAATTCTTAAATTTCAGGGATAAAAAACAAACATGGTATCCAGTTAACAGGGGGGAGGTTATTTCATTAAAAAGCTAAAAAAGTAGTTTTCTTCAGAGTCTGTCTCTATAATAATTAAATGCCAAAGGAAAATGGAGCAAGATTGGCAGCACTCTGAAAGGGTTGATTGTAAGCATCCTTGGATAGTTTAATTCCCTCCAGTGCCTCAGTAACTCCCAGGTCCTTGATCATCATTCAGAATCTCTGGTCAGCTTGTCCAGCTGCACAGCTCCACATGACTTCCTGCGGGTGTTTCAACTCTGCATGAGCAAACTGGCTGTGGTCAACTGCAGGAGATCTGTGCTCAGACTGCCAGAGAGTTTGAATCTTGGCTGCTCCACTTACTGCCTGTGTGACCTTGGCCTCAGTTTCCTCACTCTTAAAGAGCACAATAGTACCTACCTCCCTATTATACAGAATAAATAAGACAACATCATGCAAAGAACCTGGCACGTAGCAAGTACCCAATCAATGTTATCTGTTATTTTTATCTACCCCACCCAAACCTGTTCCTCATCTCCTATTTGTGGATTGCATCACCACCAAGATATTCAAGCTGGAAGTTTGAGTATGAGCCTTAACTCATTTTACTTAGCTCCCAACCCCTCCCCTTTACTTCCAACCCATCACAACCTCCTATACATTTGATTTCTTTAATATTTCTGAAATTGTCACTACTCAAAATGTAGTCTCCAGACCAGTTGCATCAGGGTTATGTAGGAGTTTGTTAGGAATGCAGTGTCTCGAGCTCCACCCCAGACCTGCTGAATCAGGATCTACATTTTAACAAGATCCCCAGAGGTTCATGTGCATGTTAACCTTTGAAAAGCACCGTTTCATTTAATTGAGGTAGAATTCACATAAGACATTACATTGGGTCCACGTGTCCAACATAATGATTTGATATGTCTATATAGAGAATTGATCACCACAATAGGTCTAGTTAATATCTGTCACCTTACATAGTTACTCAATTTTTTTTGCTTGAAGTATGGTCAGTTACAATGTGTCAATTTTTGGTGTACAGCATAGTGTCCCAGTCATGCACATACATACATATTTTCATTTTCTTGTTCTTTTCATTGAAGGTTAGATGCAAGATATTGAATACAGTTCCCTGTGCTATACAAACGAAATTTGGTTTTATCTGTTTTTATATATAGTGGTTAATATTTTCAAATCTCAAACACCCAAATTTATCCCTTCCCACCACCTTTCCCCCAGTAACCATAAGATTGTTTACTTTGTCTGCAAGTCTGTTTCTGTTTTGTAGTTGAGTTCATTAGTGCTCTCTTCATTTTTTTTTAGATTCCACCTGAGTGATATCACATGTTACTGAATTTTTAAAAGTGCTGTCTTAAACATCCACTCCACCCCTCTGCCTTCCCACTGCCTGAAACCTGCTGTCAGCGCTCACCAGGCTCACCCACTACCTTAACCCTCCAGCTGCCAGTGTTGCCCATGGCCCATTGCTTCTCCTTGTACCCAGATCAATGACTTTGACCTTGTCACTCCCGTTCCACCCCCAACCCCACCTAATCTGCCCTCCTCTTCTTCCACACTCCAGCCAGACTAGAGGGCTCTCAGTTCTATCTTGTCTTTCAGCCTTACCCCATTCCTCGCTCTCTCCCTGTCACATGGTCTCTCTTCATTCTTCTAGCATTTGTGGACATTTTAAAGTCTCCATACTGTCATGGCATGATGCATCTGGCCACTGACTTTCTCCAGAGAACTGCTCTTGCCCATTTCCATGGGCACTGAGCAACCTTCTGATTAGACTGTGGCTTCATTTGCAGTTTCAAAAGGAAAAGTGCACTGACTAGAAAACAGCCCTGTTCCCATCCTTTGGTGATTACTGTTCATTCCAAGATGAGGCTTAGACAGACATCAGCCTCTGCTGAGTCAGGTTGGCAGGAGCCAGACCCACAGGGGACGAGCACTTAGCTGCACTGACAACCACACGTTTCTAGAAGCACAAAGCTGAGAAGCTGAGGACAAGGCTCTGGACCACTGTCAGTCCATCCTGAGCCACGGTCTAAGCCT